TTATATGTGCGCATGGGAATGTGTTTATGTACAAATATACAATATATATATATTTATATTTAATAAGATCTAAAAATTTATTAAACAAAAATTGACCCGAAGAAATGGACGAATGAAATGCACGTGAGAAATCCGATAATCATGAAACTTTCTCATTAAAATGAGGTAGCCACATCAAAAAAAAGTCGACCATACAAAAACACACAAGAAAATTTGAAGTCAACAATCTTTAGCACAAAATGCAGCTGGAAAGCTTGAGAAATGAGAGATGCTCTTTAATTCCCTTTCATTTGTCGGCACAACTGTTTGATTTCTTTTTTGTGACGCAAGTGCATATGTGAGTGAAGATACAACTCATCGCCCTTTTACCCTTTGGTCAAAAAGCCAAAGAAAATTCCAATATCAATGTGAAAATATGAAAAATTAAACTTAAAAATCGGTAATAGTCATCGAACGGTACCAAAACAATTGATTTTGAGACCTAAAGAGTTTCGGGAAATATAAATTATAGTTCATGAACAAATAATTGTGATTAAGAACTGTCCGTATTAATAATTAAAAGAAACGATGAAGTGTTTGAAATCGTGACTTTGTGCTTAATTGGTCCATTTTTAATTCAAAAAATACGGTTCGAATATAACACTAATCTTTAATATATCAAAATTTGGTTTTAGAAGATTATAGATATTTCGATTTATCAACAGACCAAGATATCTTGATTCACATGAAGAACATGAGAATGTGGTTGGAGAGATTGAATCTGAAGATGAGATAAGATATGCCACGGGAAATGTCTTTATCTTCCGTATTTTAAATGCCTTTTCCAGTCTCAATTGTTGTTGTTCACGTGAATGAATGTAAGCATTGGTCACGCCTAACATAATTTGTTCATTTCACATAATGTATATTGAAAGTGATTGAAAACCCTATATGGTTCTATCTTCTTCTCCTTCTTTCTTAATTTTCCATTCAAGAGGAGGGGGGAATGAAGGGGAGAAAGGAACCATTAATCCCTATTTCTTCAAAAGCTATGCTCAAAATTCCAATTAATTCCCCCCCACTCGTCGAAGAAAAAATGTAATCTTGTTGAAAAGAAGTGGTTCACATAAAAAGTGATTGATGTACAATGAAATGGTATTTCACTATTTCTTGTTTGCTTGGTTGAAAGTCAAAGATATTAAGACAACTTTTTTAAATAAAGTGCCACCCCCACCTTATTTAGAGGGCAAAGGGAAAACGAAATCCCCTTAATCCCAATATGGACCACGCCATAAATTTTAGATAATCAAAGAAAAAGAAAGAAAAGTCACTCGCACACCAGTTCAAGCTTTAAAGATAGAGAGGAATTTGAGTAGAAATGTGATATTTTATCTTTTATAAGATATAAATGTGGTTATTGACAAAGAGAATGTGATGACGAGAGGTGACGGGCGCCACTCGTCAATTTTTAAATTGTTTTATTATTTTATGTATAAAATTTGATGTCTATAAATAATATGATTACCTTTTTTAATACCTTTTAACTATTTTTTATGTAAAATTTTACATCCATCATTGAACATGATTTTCAATATTTATATAAAATTTTAAGTTAATTATTATTAGCAACTTGAACTCAAAATTTTAAGGAATATATGATTTTAAATCCGAAAAGTTAGTAGATCAAATGATATTTAGTCTCGAATCATTAAGAGAAATGTTAATTGTGAATTAAATAAAGTCTAAGAATGCTATCTTAGTAGTACTCCAATTCCATTTAATTTCCTCGAATGATTGATTTGCATGTACATTACGAAAAGGGTGAGCATTACTCACTGAGTGGTTATCTCTTTTGTAGTTGCATTTTTCAAAAGTATTAGTGGGGGTTTTCTTTGACTTTCTCTCTGTTTTTTTTTTCTTTTTATTTTGTTTTAATTTTTCTTGCACGAAAAGTGATAATAAATCCTTGAAGTTAGGAGTTTGTATCAATATTTTAGATTACATGTGGTGAACTAATCACCACATGATGAGATCATTAAGGTGATTTGATTACTGGTAATTTTAGATTACCATGTTTAATATAATATATAGACAAGAAAGATTATCAAGTATAAAATAACCAAAATAAATTTATTATTGACAATAAGATTATTTAAAATGTGTTTTTACTAAGTGATTAATTTATAAAATAAGAATTCATTGTTGTATAGGAAATTATAAGGTAAAGGTCAATATCACGAAATTGCTTTCTAATTGCTTATAAAGACTAAATTCTTGGAGATAAAAGGCACGTTTTCATGCACACCATTATTAAATCGTATTTGTTGTAAAATAATTTTGGAGTTCACTTTCTTTTGATGATAAAATGTTTTAACTTTTTTGGATATGATTTTAATTACTTCACAAACTAATGATCCAACACACTTTCGATGATCTAAGATCGTTACCACGTAATATTATTACGATGATCTAATCATGGTGAATAAATTATTTTTGATTTTAAGAGAATCATCCCCGTGCCAAACGTCACTTTACCAAAAAAAAAAAAGATTTCTATTTTTATTTATTTTTATTGGTTGCTTGCAAATCTCAAATGGTCTACGAAGCCAACTATGAAGTTGCTTGGCGGAAATAATCAAAGGGCAAAAAGAAGGTCTAATTGCCGTACAACTCTTTGAATTTGACCTTATAAAGTCCCCATTACATGAATTTGTTGGCAAAGCCAATTTCCCATTTTAAGTTGTAATTAATTCCATAATATTTGAATTTGACTTTATGCCCCTGTCCCTTTTGTGATGTGTTCATACATAAACCGATTGGGAAAAGGTTTAGAAACTTGGATACACTTCCATCTACCTAATATTATATTAATTCTATATTAGAAAATTCAAATCTACTATCCCTAGCTTAGGAAGATTTCAATTGTATTAAAACTTAAAAGAATTTAATTAATTTATTATAATTTATCAAATTTTATGTGTTTTAAAGCTACGACAACGTTTTGGATTTATTAAAATTTGACATAGTATCTTAAAAAATCTCTAAATTATTCAAAAAAAATTAAATAAAATTTTATTTTTCTTATGACATTCAATTAAGGGTTTATATTTTTACTTTTGAATTAAATAAGTATTTATGATAAATAGTTGACTAATTGTTGAAAGTTAAAATTTTATTATCATTCTATAACATATGATATTAATATGTCCTAATAGATAATGATATTATATGATACATGAACATGTGATATTTTTATTATTCACAATAACATTACATTAACATCATATCAACATCACATAGTATCAAATAACAAGTAATATTTTGATAAATAATAATTAATTAATTATTAATTATAAATAAATAAATATAACTAAAAGTTAAAAAAAAATACTTGATAAACATTCTTAAAAGTACCTGATAACATGAACCTTAAATAATGTAAATGGAAAATTAGACACTTGTAACACCCTTAACTTTTTCGACTCCATGATTGAGTACAACAGAAGAACTTGTACCAATTAGATCGTTAATTTCCCAACCTTTGTAAAAAGGAAGACAAAGGTATAATCTTGCAGCCATATTGACCAAATGTACGTGCAAGTAAGAGGATGTGAGAAAGAAATTTGAAGTGGTAAGAACAACAACAAAGGGTCAATACATATCTTGAACAGTTATGCAGCCATGATGGGGTTGGGGAGCATCCTGGAATGATCCCAAAAGTTTTGTCTGATTGCTCTCAACCTAGTACTTATCACTTCACTTGTCCCAACCTATGTTTGTTCGACACATGGATGGCTTCACAGCCATTCGTTTAACGATGGATAAGTATGAAGAATCCCCTTCTTCCTCTGTCTCTTCCATTCTCTTGTCCTCACTTTCCTTTGTCGTCTATGGAGTTTGGAGTTCGGCCCCCTTTTGTTTTGGTGATTTTCAGAGTTTGTGTGCTGCTCCCCTTTTGCCTTTAGCAAGGGGTTTTATCTTTTAATTGAAAAAAAGAGATTCAAATTTTATTTTGTAAATATAAAAATAATAAAGAATCAAATGCTCGGTGCCTTTTATTTAACAAGGTTACTTTTATATTCTCTGAATTTCACATATTTCATTTTCTCTTTATTGCTTTAAGATTGCTTGGTGTTGAATGAATCAATGAGATATTTGTCCATAAGGTTACAATTTAAAATGAAAATTTCAATTACAATCAAATAACTTTCATATATATATATTAAAAATTATTTATGAAAAAAATATTGTAAAATGAATTAACTAATATAAAGTTGAATTAAATTTATATACAGTATGTGTAATTGCACAGAGTTACTAAAAATAACTCATCAAACACTAAGGCAGCAAGAGTTGGTTTTGCTTTAAAAAAAGACATAATATTTAAAAGAAATTATGAATTATTCATTAATTAATAATTAATTATAAAAATTTATTTAATCAAAGTTAAATGTATAAAAATTTGATTGAATTTAATAAAATAATAAAATTCATTTAAATTTTTTTAAAAAATTATGTAAAAAAAATTACCGCAAAAAGTAAAAGTTGCATTATTAAATGGGTTGTTGCTTGGGTTGGTCAAAACTGTATTCACATTAACTTTCTGTTGGCTTGCCATGTGAGTGTGGCTCAGAATTCAACCATGTTTAAAATCTTGGGAAAATGGGGCTTTGGATTGATAGCCCTCATAATTGGGGAAGAGGCCAACTTGAATGCATATTAAATGAAGCTAGCTGATTTGCCTATATACTTTAATAAAACTCTACCCTATGACAGACATACAATTTGGGATTTGATTTGCTACTGTTGATTGTGAATCATATAAACCCTAATTTATTTTAATCTCTGGGCACATGAATTTATTTCATATTTATGTCGTGAATCATATAAACAAAGAGTAATAAGCCGCTCTCTATTATTAATCAATGTAATAATGATGTTAGCTACTATGTTTTGTGTTTAATGAAAAGCCTTTTAAAAGGAGTCGATAAATAATATCAATGCAATGAAAAGGCGGAATAGATTACGAAGATGCCGACGATGTTTATTAAATTTTTTTCGATACCGACAATATGGTACCGAGATTATACCTTATGAACATTGTGCTAGAAAATCACTTGCTAAATTAAATTTTGGAAAATAACTTGAGCAAAAGATTTTGAATTGTGTACAATGGATATCTACCATCTAAGCTAGCTGCCTGAAAAGAAGAAAAAATAAGAGCAAAATATCTAATTTTGCCCATTTTTAATTTTTGCTATTTCCACAACTCCAGAAACCTCCCCAATCTTCTCTTTCTTTAAGGTTGGCCCAAAAGAATTCCAAATATTTACACAAATTTCTGAAATTCCTCTCCTGTCCCTAGCTATTTCTCTGCCCTTTTCCATTTTTTTTTTTTTGGTGCTGCCTTATTGTCTAAACCCAAAGCCAAGCGGATGAGTCGGGTACCGGAACCCATACGGATCAATCGGGTTAGAGAAGTTCTGAGTCAAGACACTCGAGTTATGCTGAAAAAACCCCGAGTTATCAGCTCGCTGGGTTCTGAGTCCGCTTTGTACCTCTTCGTCCGCCGAGTTACCAATCTTATTTGTTGATGTGTCCATCTGGCATAGTGTAGGCTGCATTGTTGGACATAGACGTCATTATTCCCATAACTGGGGATCCCCTGACTCTGAGTCTGGGTTGGCCGCTGGGTACCAACTCGGGCACCGAGTTAAGCCCTGCAAGACTCGCCCAATCTAAATTCCCACTACCCAGATTGTGGAACCCCGTTTTCTCATCGTTTTGAAGCGTTTTCAACGAGTTCATACGTGGCAAAGCAAAGAAACGACCGTCTAACTCGGGAAATGACTCGAGCATGTCATCGAGTTGGGAAGAAGAAGAAGAAGAAGAGCCATTGTTGCTATGCTCTTTGCTTGAAACGTTCGGTAATGGTTTTTGAGCACTCGAATTCTTCTTGTATATTCGACATAAAACCCATTCATCCAACTGCAACGAATATATAAAACAAACCAATCAAACAAGAATTCTCAATACTAAATTCAGACAAACTAGTAGTTCTAAAAGTTCGCTGAGGGAAGAGAAACAAGTATCTTACCTTGGTGCTTCCATTTCTACGGGAAGCTTCAATGAGTCTATACTCATGCATAATCCAATTCGTTTTAGTCCCTTTGGGTGCTTTCCCAATGTAAAAAACCAGAGCTTTCTTGATACCAACTTTACGACCTTCGGTTGTGATAACTTTGTCAGTCCCGGTGGCCTTCCAGTACCCTGATCCAGCGACTCTATTGGGTCGTGATCCGTTGGGATACTTCCTGTCTCTAGGACTGAAAAAGTACCATTCTTTCTCACCAAATATGGCCTTGCCTATATCAAGCAATTGAGATTGATCAGCAAATACAATCTTTAAACACAGAAAAACAAAAGCAAAAAAGTCGACCCTTTTGTTGGAATCGATGAACTCACTTGGTAAAACCCAAGGATCAAACTTGTACAAATCGATTTCTCCAATGATTTGTAGAGAAAAATGATGCCCAGCAACTTTCCTGCACAGATACTGAACCAGAAGCTCTTCATCAGTTGGGTAGAACCGAAACCCTGGTGGCAAGCTCAATTGAGCCAATGGGTCTGTCTCTGGCACCCCCATGATCAATTCTTCCAATTCAATAAGACAGCTAAGAGCTAGCCAAGGGAGAAGATGGAATAGTATAAAGATTTTATTCTTCTTTTCCCTTTTTTTTTTTTTATGAGTTGAAGGAAATGGGAGGTATTTAAATAGAAAGTGGGCGGAACGGATAGACAGTGTTAAAGAGAGAGAGAGAGGGAGAGATAAGTACGGTCGTCCTTGTCTTACTGTTAGCTAAAAGGACCCACCTCAATGTTTATCACCGTTAAAAGAATGACACGTGCTTTACATCATGCGGCCGACCTTATCCGACCAAGAGGGTGCATGAACCGTCACTAAAAATTAAAAAAGTGAGTCATCAATTTTAGACACGTGTCGATTTTGCACGCGTTTTTTCTAGAACCCGCATATACCCAATAGGTGGTACCAAGAAATTTCCATGAACCCCACCAAAAAAAAAAGTAACAAAAAACAAAGGGCGTTTGGGACCTCTCTCTCTTTGTTACCGAGAAGTTTAACGTTTTTCACACTATTTGTAACGGAAGGGGCGACGTCGGCTGATGTTGGACACGTGCGCACACGTGCGTGATAGTTAGGCTGGAATTGGGAATGATTGAGGGGGAAAAGAAGAGGAAAGAACAAGAGGTGGATGGTCTTATTGACTGACACGTTTACTGGATTTCTTTTCGTTTAGGGGTTTTCTCGTTTTCATGTATGGTTTGGTTGGATTAGGTGTTTCTTTCACTCAAGAACTTCTATGGATTAGCTTACAAGTTTTAATGCATTACATGGGGTTTGGATCATTCAAAAAAAAATTATTTGTTATTCTAATGTAGGGCAAAGGTTTTTTTAATAGTTTTTGAAAAAAACAACTTAATTCTTTTTTTTTTCTATTAATGAATCAGATACTTATAATTTATAAAATTAATTAATTTTTTAAATTTTATATCCAAATTGATGAAATACGAATGAGATCATTTGGCATTCCATTTCTAATCACTAAATTTGTTCGTTGATTGTTCAATAACAGTCAATTTAAATCTTTATTTAATTTTATCTTGATCATAGATAAATCACGTAGGTTCGAGTCAACTTCAACATCAATCAATTCAAAACTCCATTTAATTTCATTACAACTTTATCTTGGTCATAGATAGACCACTTATGTTCGAGTTCATAAGTACAGTAACAATTATCCTATAAAGATTCGCTTTCATTACGACTTTGATTCATCTAACTCAAAATTTATACAATCAAATAATAAAAGTTTAAAATTGACATAATTATTGATAAAGACACAACTTGTGAACTCGAATTGCCACCAATATTCAAAATCGAGTTCTCTTTCCTTTTTGTTCTTTTTTTCCTTGTCTCTATTAAAATTTTGTATACGTGGAAGGCTTCCAGCTTAAGATAAGAAAAAAAAAAGTGAGGAAAGAGATATGGCATAGAATTTTGAAGTGTTTGGTGGGTCAAAGGGGCACGTAAGGTGGGGTTTAGCTCACATACACATAACAAGTGACATGTGGTTTTAATGAGAGCAATGGATTTTGACAAAGCCACTACAATTCCAAATCCAAATTGTTTATTGTCAAATGATAAAGTTATGTTATTTAGTTTAAAAATTTTATTATTGACGTATTTCGATATCAGCATATTAGTAGTGTTAAAGTCAAAATTTCATATTTGGAAAGAATTGGACAAAAAATGAGCCGATCGTGAGGTTTTGAAACAACGAAGTTAAGATTGTAATAAGTTTTATTGTAGTTTCTAAATCTATTAAAATTAATTATTGATTAATTATTATAAAACATCTTATCAAATAAAAAAATTATTATAAAAACAAAACGATAAAATTTTTAAAAAATTAAGAGTATATTATGAAATTTTAGAATTTTTAAAGATCGGGCTCCTAGTAGCCTTCCATTCCCTCCGCCACTAAATATTAGTGTATTTTACATAAAATTTATTTTGAATTTAATAGGATTATGGGGCAAATTTCAACATAAAAAAGGGTTTGGACTTGTTTTATGCCACGTGCAGATAAATATTGTGTTTGTGAGTATGAGAATTGGATTAATATTCTTTGGTAAAAGATTGCAGCTGTCATGGACATGGAGTTTGGAGATTCTTGGGCACCTACCATCAAAATTGGGTTTTCTTTCTTCAATTCTTCTCTACACACGTAGAATGATAGATGTCTTTCTTAAAAGGCACAAAATTAAAAATCAAAAGGGCTGCTTTTGAATTCAAGTCCCTTCTGTGTGTGTATAATTCTTGATGACAAGGAAAGAAAGTCTCTTTTTGGGGTTTGGCAGGACATGGGGGCTTTCATCCCTTTGTTTTGTTTTTTGAGCTGTAAATTGAAAGAAAGAAAGAAAGAAAAAAAGGGTTTCTTTCTTTGCTCTTAGCCAAACAGAGTTTAACGAATGGTACTTTGATTAGTGAATTTAGAAAACAACAATGAGCTACTTTTTTTTTTCTTTTAATTTTCATGATTTTGACATGTTGGAAGCGGTATATTAAGTTTTAATACAAGACGGGATAACTCTTGAACATAAAAGTAAAGACATTAACAGTTAATCAATTTTTCACTAACGTGGGATCTTTCATGCGAAATATTAAGATTGAGGTAGATGCAAGATCAAAATGGTTTCCTCTTCTTTATGAGTGAAAGAACGAGGGTATTGCATAATTAAGTGAAGTTTAATGTTACGGATTCCACATCAATAAAAAGATTATAAAAAAAATCTTGAGCTTATAAGTAAAGATTTTCCTATATACATGAAACCATGACATTACGTCTTAATATTAATAATATGACATATTCGTTTCATTTGAATCTTTTTAACATGTGATGTAGAAGATATTATATACGTCGAGCCAATCCACCCGTGCAAATTTTATTAATTTTTTTTTGGTATTCGATCTCAAAATCAAAATCCAAATCAATAATAAGAAAATTTGATAGCTACTAGCTTAAAACCCTAATTTAGTAAGAGTCCAAGTGTGTGACTAACTACTCCTTCGAAACTATATGAACAGTTTACTAATTTGGGTCCAGTCATGGCCGTCATAGTTACATATTCAACTCAGTTTAGAAAAATTAGAAGTGGGTTTTCTGTCATTTTTTATTTCTTAGTTTGGAAAAGTAGGGATAAGAAGAAATAGTTGTAGCTTGCTTTGACAAAAAAACAATTTGAATGAAGAAAATTATATAGAGAAAATCAATGACTAAGAACAATATAGCCTACAAATGCAATTGTTGACTTGTTGAATTTAATTGTCAGCTTGAATAAAGAAAAGTAAAAATACAACGGATTTTCTGCATGTGAAAAATGCATTAGACAGGATTTTTCAATGCTTTTTTCCTTCAGTTTTCAATGTTTTAAGTCCACTACTGACAACCTGTCCACTGATTTTAAACAGCAAAGCAGCCCATATGTGATTTTTTCTTGCTAATATTCTAAATGCTGATGTGGTTTGAACTTATTCATTTTAGATTAGGGAGCTTGAAAAAAAAAATTTTTGATTTCGATTCTAAACATATCGATAATAAAAACACGAAAAAAATGAAATAAATAGAACTTTTCCGAAAATTGAATCAGAAAAAATTATTGGATTAAAATAGAATTGTTATAAGATTATCTCTTATGGTCTAACTCAATTAACCGAATTGAAATTATCTTGTTTCGGAAAATTCATGAATTTTGGGCAAAAAAATAATAATTATTTAGTGTTTCTAAGTCAAATACAAGGTAATATAGTAATATGAAAAATATTATTTTTTATTAAAAAAAGGCTGTTTGTGTTTCATATGAATCTGCATCTCTAACATTTTGACTTCACTTGGCCTAAATGTCAGCTGCATGAGCCTGCAACAAGTGCTTTCAAGCCATAATCTTAGACTTCAATTGTCTGCCCAAGACCAGAGAACCTAGTAAGTTTTGAAACCTTTATCATGATTGATTGAATTTTGGGTTTAATTATAAGGCCATGTGAAGCTACTGGGAACATTAACAAGTACACCAATCTTAGTGTGCATATGCTAAATGTGTATGATACATAGTCAACTATACTAATATATTTTTTAACTTACTTTATTTCATAATCTTTAATGAGCAATATATAAATGAGAAAAATCCCACTCCTATGCTTATCTTACAAGTTGAAAAATTAAAAAAAAAATCTAATTTTCTTTCGATTTAAGTGAAAGAAAATATGAGAGCGTGATGTGTTAATATTTTATTTAAATATTCAGATTGACCAACAAAACATAGTGATTTCCCACGTAAGTAAATAAAATTTCTACCTTTTTCTATAAGTGTCTATGGAAATTGCACTATAAAATTTGGCTAAAAGCCTAGACACAAGAGAGACAGGTCTAGCCGCCTACAAGCCCAAAACCAATCAACTATGGGATTAAAAAATCCTGAGTAAAATTCAGTCAAGAAAACTATAATGTTTGGGCTCCCACATGTCTTGTACATGTCCCCTTTGGAGGTTTCTTCCATGAACCTTCCACACTTGATAAATTGCTGACAGCAGGAGATGATATCAGTATATATCAGACAAACTCTGATTCCAGTCACAATCTGTAGCCAATTTTCTTTCATCTTTTTTCTCTTTCTGAAGGCAAGCTTTTGACAAATCCCAAAATTGTTCCAAGATACTCAGACTGAAAATTCAACTGAGTATCCATAAATCATAAATAAGAATGCTAGCTAGCTTCAAGCCTTGAAGCCTGCCTAAGCCAGAAAAAAGATGGCAGCTGAGAACACATTACACCATGGTTTAGTTGTCGGTTTTTCAATGGTGTGATGATGTATTTTATTGTGTTTCACACCTTTCTTGATGTCCCATTTATGGGAGGTTAGGCAGCTGCCCAATAAGCATAAAGTTTTTAATATATTGGTTTACAGAAATCTTTGCCCAATCTAAAAATCAATATTTTAATAGTCAATGTTCTTCATTGAGTCATTTCTGATCAGTTTCTGGGTTGACTGTAGAAAGATATCACATTTATTCCACATCAGCTAGCTAAGACTCTGATAAGAAATTGGAAAAATTGGAAGCATGGGGGAAACAATGTGATCAAGTATGTCACCAATATGCAACTAGGCAGAACTGGCCAGAAGTTTTGGAATTTGTTTTTGATAAGAATGAAATTTGAGAATAAGGATAGGGAGTCAATGTAGACATGATTCAAGCTAAATCTTCTGACATGCCGATTGACAACCAACTTACAGCAATTAGGATTATGATGCGTGAGTTTGACCCAAAAACACACCAATTTGAGAGAACCATCAACCAAAATTCCATACAAAACCCTGTCGATGCTGTCCCTTCTGTAATCTCATATACTTGTGGCCAAAACATATGGCACAACAAAAATTTAAAAGAGACAAGCAATGACTCAAGCCTGCCTGTACTGCCACAATCAAGACACAATAACACGGCGTTGTTTCAGGGTTTAGCTAAGGTATTTGCCAAATTTGTTCACCTGGTGGCCAACAATTGGAGAATTGTGAGCTAAGAGATTCAAGTTTTGTGGATGTCATGGGAAACAGCCAATTCAGCTAGAGCTGGAATGATCTCCACCATATACAAAAAGATTATGGTGTCCAATCCAACTATGGCCCTACTAGAGCAAGCTCTTGGCATGAGGGATCAATTTATTGGGCCATAAATGACATTGCCTATTATCAGTTTGAGGTTCAAGGAGTTAGGTTGATACAATGGCAACATAGTTTAGGCCTTAACCACCAAAACTAGATGTGGGGATCAAGTAATTTAATTGGGATAGAATAAGCATAGAGCACATAATTGAAATTCTTTAAGTTGTCAAAACAATCGAATGGTATAAAATTTTACTCTAGTTTTACTTGTCATCCGTACAGTATACAAGCCAATAAAATGAAAAACAAAAATGAAGGAAATGGTATCGCTAATTTGATTCATATACTTGGTGCATAATGTAATATGTTAAGCTACTCCTTTAATTTTTTGGTCACCCCAATTTTCATGAGGGCCAAATAAGCAAGCATCCGGTATACCACAAGCATTATGGCTAGGGCAACAGCAGAGAGAAGTTGGCCATCGAGGCCTATATTTTTTATCGTTGGAAAATCTCCAACCAAGCAAACTTTTCCAGGATCATCACAAGGGTAAGTTTCATTTGGCTTGTATTGAGACCCCAAGACGAGTTTGTATGTGTGATGGCTAATAGAAATGTATTTGATCCATGATATGAAAGGAGAGACATGTTGATTATAGAACCCACCAGCAAGTAAGAAAGTAAGCATGACCACTGAGCCAAGTATAGTTGCTGATTTAAGGTCCATTACGAAGGCACCAAGGGCTGGCCCTAGGCTTTGAGAGACAAGGACACCAAAAAGAAGGGCAAATAAGGTGTGCAGGAAATTTCTTGCTGTGGGTTTAAGTCCTGCCATCCAATATGTTATTGTAACAAAAGCAGTGGGAAGTATAAGTTCCACGGGGAGATCAGCAATGGTTCTTGACATGAAGTATGAGGAAAGCCTGTACATGCCTGAAGACCATTCTTTTTCGAGCATCATACGTTCCTGAGGGGAGTTGAAAATTGCTTGAAATAGAGGGTAGCAGCCCCAAAATCTTGAAGAAAAGAAGAGGAGTCCAATCTGCATGTTTCCAAATTAATCATTCTATATCATATGTCATACCAAAAATTAAAACCATCCAAAGCTGATGTTGAGCTAAAAGCTAATTACTGTCAGTCCATTCCTGTTAACAAGTTTCTAATTTCAATGTGAATTGTGTAGTTTGCACAATCATTTAAAGAAAAGCAAGCTGAATTTAATGGAATGAAAGTGCTTGGAAGATGTTAATTTACCTCGTCTTGCAAGTGCACAATATCAGATTGCCACCACATTAATCCTACAAGGACAGCTACCACCAGGACCTGAGCTATGTTGAGGCCAGAGAATGACTCATGCTTCCTTTCCTTTACTCCTCTTTGTAGCAATAGAGTGAACTGTTGCCGCCAAGTTGTAGCCCACCTTACAAACTTCTTGTTTTCCATTTGATCAGGAGGGTGATGCCTGACTTCTTGAAGCTCATCCTTTAATTTCGCAGCAATGTTGCTCTTGTAGGCAGAAATTAATGCTTCTTCACCACGGTTTGTTCCTCTTGTGATTCATTCGATGAAACTCCTACATTGTATATTGCAAAAGCAGCATAACAGGATTCGATTTTCTGATCTGTGCTTAAATTAATAACCTTATTGAGTTGGTAACGTTCATGCATAGAAATTTAACATAAAGAATTTGAGTGCTTGGCTGCTTGTATATATTTGAGTAACTGCAATGCCACAGTCACATCCACTGCTACATTCTACATTTTCTTTCCTTCTGCAGAATGAAAGCAGTGGCCATATATATTTGTAATTTAACAAAATTATGTTCATATATCGTGTAACAATATCAATCTAATTAAAGGAGATGATGTTTCTACCAATTTGACTCATTATTTGGGATGTTATTTCTATGTATCATCATTCTATCATTTCCTATTTATGATGATTTACTCTGTATGAATAGATGTATTAGTTTCACAGATACAAAATCTTGGACGGACTGGAGCAACTTAGGACTGAGTGAATATTAAATCAGATAGGTGACTAACATAAACAGGCATAGGGATTAGATCAGAAAAGCTGTTGTGATGATATATCAGAAAACGTAGCAGAGTCAATATTAATGGAAGGCAGAGTTAGAAACCATGCAGGGAAACTTGAACCTAGAAAATAATCTCATATATGAATTAATGAACATATCGGTGGCATTTTAAAAGAATAAAAGCAGACCTGTTATATTTAAGACTCTGCAAAGATATTGGTTGAAGTGTTAGACAGTTAAGAGAGACTTTAATAAGGAAACGAAACAGAAACATAAATGAATACAGAGAAATTTTAATGCTTCCATTTTTTCTTCTGTTGGGAATCATTCCCAATGCATTCATTAGGTTTCCCAGGAATTCCAGGATTGTTTTTCACCTGGATGAATTCCTCAGACTTTAAACCCTGCATTGGAAACTATGTTTTCTACATGTTTCCCCATTAAGAAATGCTCCCAAGCCCAAGTCCCAAGCCATTCCATTAAATAGAGCGATTGACTCAATGAAAGCCTTAAAATTTATTATCATTATCTATACCACACACCATCTCGGTACTAAAGTCCATTAAATTGCAATGCAATTTTTACAGGATTTACCAAAGATGTATGCAAAATTTCCCTACACAGACATTAGCTCAAATCTATATTTTTCGGACTCAGGGTGAGTGTCAGATACGACTAAATGTAAGATAAAGTACCTTCATTTTTTCTAAAAGAATTTTTTCTTATATTTGAAGAATCGAACCTTGCTATCCATGTCGGTCGAATATATGTCAAGCACAAATACTTCATAAAAACTGAAGAAGTGGAGTAAACACATGGGCTTAAACACTTGGTAAATGAGATCAATGTGCAATAATTGTGATTAACACATACCATTTGCAAGATCCAGGAGGAAATCTGAAGGGTTCATGCCAACTGATGGGGCATATCTGATGCTGGAAAAATAATCCATGGCAGCCGATCCTTGTCCAAAATACAAAGGGTTTCCTTCTGATAGTAGCAAAGCCTTATGAAACAAGTAAAACAGCCTACTCGATGGCTGATGTATCGTCAGCACAGCTGTTCTTCCACCTTTGGCAAGCTCCAACAATGTTGACACAATCCTTTGAGCTGTAGTCGAATCCAGACCCGATGTAGGCTCATCCAAGAACAACAAGCTCGGGTTTATAAGCATCTCTTGCCCTATACTAACCCTTTTCCTCTCCCCTCCCGAAACTCCTCTCAGAAATGGACCTCCAATGATGCTGTGTTTGCACTTAGTTAGCCCTAGTTGAGTGATCACAGTTTCAGCATGCATGATCTTCTCTTCTTTACTAAAACTATTAGGTAACCGAAGAAGGGCAGTGAATACAAGGGTTTCGGACTCTGTCAAGTGAGGGTAGAGAACATCATCTTGAGTAACAAAACCGGTATTTCGCTTCGTTGCATTTGAGAAAGGCTTGCCATTGTAAGTTACGGTTCCATTGAGCCGCCCTCCCAAGTGGCCTCCTAATGCAGTCAATAGAGTCGTTTTGCCACTGCCTGATGGACCTAGCATGGCTAACATCTCCCCAGGGTGAACCGTTCCGGTGATCCCATTTAAGATCACTTTCTCTTCTGACCCCGAATTCTTTCGAAAGAAATTACCTTGTTTTCGAAGCTTGATTGTGTAGACAACATCAACAAACTGTAAATTAAAGCAACAGCACATTACAATGCTTACAAAATTGTATAGCAAACCACTTTTTCTCCATAGCTTGGCAAGAAGACACTGAAGAACCATCAAAACTATGCATGTAAAAAGCTCAATATCATCCAATTTACTTAACACAAACACTACTACAAAACCCATACCTCTAATATAACAGTTTGATTTGTATTCTCAAAGATGGCAGTGGCTTCCAAGTGATCTTCAGCCTTACTTTGAGCTTCGATGTCCATCTCCTGCTCCATTGTTATCAATCTAGATAAGCCCCATCAAAACCACAAGGAGAGTTACTATGTGCATGTATATGAAAAGAAGAAAAAAAAAGGAAAAACCTAAAACGAAAGAAAGAGATGAACAGCGTAAGTGAAGATGGCTGAGTGTTAGAAGTGTTCATGGCTTCTTCTTGTTGGTTACCTTCAAATTCTGGTTTCCTACTTCCCTAAACTTAACTTGCACAACTAATGTTTTTCTTCTATATTATGCTTCTGTTAAAACTTATCTGCAAATTAACCATGTAAAAGTAGCAGTGTGTTCATGGCCTATGAAATACTAGTAATTAATTAACCATCAAAGGCTACAATCAACCAACTTTTTAGTTAGGCAATACATTATTTAGTTTATCTCTATTCAAGCAGGTTGAAGAAATTAGAGAGTATATTATTTTGCGTTTAATGCCATAGGTAGGTCATTACCATCAAAGTCATTTTATGAGCATTAAAAGCAAAATATATTTTTAGTTTTTTTTATCGGGAAAGGGGGATTTAAACCCTAGACAGAAAATTATATGCCAACTAATGCATCAAATGCTCGAATACAAAATATATTTTTAATTACATATTACTAAATTATAATTTTTATTTTCAAGGCTCATTTAGTTGGAAGGTTTAGAATTAACTAGATAATAAATAAAGGCTTATTATTGTAACATCTTACCCTCGGATGTTAATTTAATGAAAATATTTTAACCAATTAGGATGAATTTTGGATGTTAGTAATGTGAGAAGATATGTGGGAGCAAAAGAGGTGACATTGAAATTAAAATAAAATAATATTAATTTATTAGTGGTGGATGAATAAGTCAATGTAATATCGAAAGCTTATTTTCAAGAATTTTGGCTAACGTGGGGGGAGAGTAAGAGAAATTTCAAAGAAATAGAATATTAGTGGGATTCACGTGTTGTTATTAAATAAAATATAAAAAATAAGTATATATTTAAATTTTATGATCACACTTGAATAGAATGTAAATTTGATATTTTTCTTGTACGTGTGTAAAGAAAGAATAATAGAATGTGGATAAAATCTACAGTTGGGCCAATGAAGAACCAAGGAAATAACCATGTGATCCAAACGAGGCTACAAGTAAAACAAGGAAGCCATGGCTTTGGCAAAAGGACTACACGGTTTTCATGAGCAGAAAGGGAATATTTTGCATGTCAAGCCATGTGTTTATGAAGTGCGCAAGGGAACATGCATAGGTGAAGGGTGCCATGTTTCCTCAAGACTAGCACCTGAAATTTTGTAGATCAATAGAAAAATTATGCAAGTGGAGACATGGAAAATCTATGATGACCCACGTGACTTGTAAGAGGGAATGGCATTACAAACATCAAGGCAATCTGAATTTCACCAAAATGATCGGCCAAGTGAAAACACATTGAGATTTCATGGAAAAGTAAAAGCTAGGAAGGAAATAGAACATGCAAAATAAAAAGGGGAGTAGCTTTGATGAATCTGCCACACTTGGGGAAATAAAGACAGTCGGCCACCAGTTGCAAGAGTAAACCCGAGAGTCTTAAGCTCCTTATTCTTCTATTTTCTAAAGGAAATTACAACCCAAATTACAATGCAACAAAGCTCATTACCTCCTTCATTTTTTTAAGCTACCCGAGAGTATTCATAAAACTTTTCAAGGGTGGTTTCAAGAGCAACTGAAAGTAGAGGAGATAACCAGTTGAAGTAAGTTGAAAAAAAAAAATTAGAGTTTCAGCTTAGGGGAGAAAACCCTTGTGTGATTCATCAAAGGCAAACCGAGGCAGCTGATCCATTTTTAAAGCGATTGAGGCCCCACAAATGGAAGCTTGATGATGGAAACTTAATGTGTAGGTAAGGAAATTTTGATTTAAGCATTAAACAATTGGTTCAAAGAACTTATGCTTTTATGATCTTGTGGTGGCATATTTAGAGAATAAATAGCTTGAGGCTGTGTTTAAGTTGACCCTTAAGCAAATTATTTTAGTGAAAGAAGTTGCTGCCCGTGAGGTTCCTCGTGAACCCATGTTGATACCCCAAGAAACGTGAGGGTTTATGAGTTTAATGAATGTATGTAATTAAAGAATTTGGCTAAGTGACCAAATTAATCATGCAGAAATGAGAGGCTCTTGGCTGAATGAAGTTGTTGAAGATTAGTTGGAATAATTTGATTAAAGGTTGAAATGAAAGGGTAAGAACGATGAGTAAATATTGAACTTAAGCTTGGATCTCTTTGCCGAAAATATGCATGGTAGAAGGGTATCGAAATTATTAATGTCTTTGAACTATTTCATTGCTAGGAGGTTTGGTCAAGAAAAGAAATAGTTGCTGGAATTTTATCGAACGGGGCGTAGCACTAGAGGTTGGTTGGTGAAGTTTAAAAGGTGACAAAAATAAATGAAACTTGGAATTTAAGTGCTATATTACTAGCTGCCCGATTGTGTAGATAGTTTAGAATCGAATGTTATGCTAAGAAATGCTATGATGTCTATTTTTAGTGATTGATTTAGTGCCTCGGCTACTAATACAACAGTTAGTGAAAGCAAGGGTGATTGGCTCATTGGCTGAAGCATTAAGCCTTCAAAGGCTGGGATGATGATGGTGGTTTGAATAATGCTAAACTCCATGTTAGAATTGCAATGAAATTAAGCTAAGGCACAGAGGATTAACAGTGGTGAGAAATCCCACCAACTAAGGCGAGTGGGTGTTAAATTTCAAAATTATGTTTCTGGAAATATATTACATATGTTACACTTAATGATTGAATAAAATTGTGGAAAGCATGAGTTAATAAAAAGCTTTAGGGTATTTGTGATTGTGATAAAGATTTAAATCTATTATCTATATTATATATATATATATATATGTATATAATTTCATGTTTTTAAAGATGGGGAAACAAACCTTTGATGAGTTTTTATTTCAAAAAATCTGCCTTGCAAGCTTTGTGTGGTACGTAGGCCAATAGTCATTATTTGACTTATGAAAAGTGACAGTTTTACTTACTATTTCATCAATGCATGTTGTTTGGTTAATATGTCATGCCTCAAAATAAATTTGTTCGTAAACATTTGGTTTATAATTATACTACATATTGCTTTATCTCATTTCATGAATGCATCGAAATTATATTTAATTTTTTTTAATAAAACGGAGACATTCAAGGATAGGATCTGTTACCACATCAAGTTAGTGTAATCTTTGTGCACAAAGTAGTGATTATTGATTATTGATATTTGATTATAAAAGAGGACTTAAAGCCTCGATTTATATTTGGTGGGTGGGTAGTTCGCATAGGTAAGTAAAGGGGGACCTGAAGCTTCGATTTATATTTGGTGATATAAGTAGTTCCCACGAGAAGGTAAAAGGGGACTTGAAGCCCTGATTTATATTTGGCGGCGTAGGCAGTTCTCACAACTAGGTGATGATGTTATTGATACAAAAGAGTAAGCCTAAGGGCTATACTAAACCTACCCGAGGTTTATGCGCATTTATGAATTTTTATTAAACATGGCATGGCATTAATACTTGAAATTTGTTTTTACACAGCAAATGAGATTTATGTATTTATTGGTGACTGATTATTTTATATTTTTATGTTTAAGATTGCTCATTTTATACTTGCCATTGGATTTACTGTTGAAAAAATACTAAAGTTGAAAGATTTTCCAACCAGCTAATTATAAACATTTTCATATGTGTTTACTTATCATTTTTTTTAAAAAAAAACTGCAAGGCATAAAAATCTCTCGGTTTAATTGATTATATTTTCACCACTTATTCTTGGATTTATAAATATTTTACTTTTATATTTGTTTCCCCTTCCTTCTTGCTCACGGAACCAATGATTACTAAGTCTGCAAGACTCACCCACGTTATTTAATGTACATAAATAAATGGTTGAAGATATTGTTGACGAGGATTCCTTTCGTAGCTGTGCAGGTAATCGCATCTCTTAGCTTTCTTTAAGTCACTATATTGTCCAATCATCGAGTTATTTTTTTTTAAATTTATTTGAAGTGATGTATCTAAATTATTTTGGGTCAAGGTCTCCTGATGTTATGACACTAACTTCGCAGTTGTATTATTTAAAGGGGATGTATAAGTACTCGATAAATTTTATTTTGAAATTTGATGAGTGGTGGAGAATTTAGTTATCATTATTTTGATGCATGATACTGGTGCATAAATATATGATATATTGATATTTATTGAAATCAATTGTAGTTGTAAGGAGGATATAAGGAAAGGAATATACTCATAAACTAAAATGTTTAGAAAGTTAGTCAAATTGTGTTGGCATGTCTATATGATTTGTGCGTAGATAACAACCGTAGGAATTGATCGTTACAATTATTCTATATATATAGTCGGAGTTTCTATATATATAGTCGGAGTTCTAAACTCCATTCACGAAGATTAAAATATTATCACATTTTTTTTAATTTATCATATTAAATTTTTTAATAGTAATCTTTTGATTTCATTGATGGAATTTAAAAACTCTATCAATGATATTATAGGATAATAATTTAATAAATAAAACTTACAAACAATATGCTTTTTCTTTTGCCAAGAAATTTTAATGGTGCAAAATTGGAACATTTTTTTTGACTCGATGCAGACTTTTATTTTAATATTTTATCATGCTTTTTTTCTTATTTAATCACATTGTTTACCATATACTTTTTGGAAATTTGTAATATTTTTATTTATGACATGTCAATTTAGGTCTATGTATTAGGTATGTTATAATTAAATTCTTAAACATATAATTTGCATAAAGTACTAATTCATGTGTCTACAGACTTATTTAAATAAATGAAATTAAGCTGATGCATCACATGGGTCACAAACTAATTCTTTTACTAATAATATAATTATAGCATCGATCCTTTAAAAACAAAGATTATACTTTAATAATTATGAATCGAACTTTTCTTTATTATATTTTAATACATTCTTATATCGTATTAATTGATATTTAGTGGGAAAGAAAATCTTCTGTTAACACATCTCTTCGGCCCAAAAAAGGAAAAACTTCATTACTATCCACAATTCCAATTGAATATTTGTAGGGCCATGAAGTTCATTGGCCCATAGGCAGCATTTGTTTGACAGATTTGGCAATTCAATTATTCCTACCTATTATGACCCACCAATGGGTTTATATAATTTACGCATAATATTTTAAAAAAATTGAATTATTTGAAAAAATTAAAATAAATTTTTATACTTTTATTACATTCAATCAAGTTTGTATATTTTTACTTAGAATCAAATAAGTTCTTATATTTTTATTTTGAGTCAATATAATACTAATATGACATGCTAACATATCATAATTGATGATAATGTAGCATGTCGATAAATCAAAATTGATGATAACATGATATGCTAATTTAGCACGAAAACACGATCATATATCATTTTTTAACTTCTACATTAATGCCATGGGATTAAAATAATAAGCGGTATTTTGACCAATGGTAATTAGTCAATCCTTAATTATAAAGACTTATTTGATTCAAAATAAAAATATAGAAGCTTAACTAAACACAAATAAAAAAATGAAGGCTCATTTGAATTTTCTTGTGTAGTTTAAGATTTTATTTTTTTAGCATTATGCTTGTAATTTATTTTTTGTGTTTGGGTCTTCCATAAAGAGGAAGCACTATCCTTTTCATCCTCTTTAATTGTACTTAAATTGGAGGAAGGAACTTTAATATTTTAATTTAGATATGTTTTTATAAGAAAAATATAAGTACTGTTAAATTTGAATTTACTATAAAATTTTTAATTGGATTGAAAAATATTGGATCATTTGGTTTATACATGAGTCAGTGTCATTGTATCTTAAAAAATTAATTTTGGAAATGAATTTCAAGTAATTTAATGGTCAATAGAGTAACAAGAATAATTAGTGGTATATAATATATTTAGTAATGAATTAAGTCCCTTTCTTCCAACTTCCAATTGTCTCCTAGGATTTAATTATTAACAACTTGGTATATGCAGGGCCCACTTGTGTATCAATATTTGGTAGGAATCATGTTATTATTATCATCCCCAACTTTGACACAATCTGTGTTTCTTGTATGAGTGAGATGCCTGTTAGTACCATAATTCAGCTCCCATGGTGGTTTTTCTTTGTTGTGCATCTGCTTCTTTCTGCTAGTTCTGATGCTAAAGATTTCGACATCGACAGCCAAGATGTTAAAAGATCTCAATTCCCAGATAATTTTCTCTTTGGCACAGCTACATCTTCATATCAGGCATCTGCTGTAGCTCTTTCTTTCTTTTCTTTCTTGCTTTGCTGTAATGGTTTGTTTACTTCTTTGGTTTTTCGCTTCTGGTTTTCATGCGATAGGTTGAAGGAGGATACCTTGATGATGGTAAAGGCCTCAGCAACTGGGATGTTTTCAGTCATGTCCCAGGTAAACAGGAAATGCTGATATATATATATATATCCCATAGTCAAACTTGTATGCACATATGTGTAAAGCTTAACTACTTGATCAATTAACTTTTTCAGGAAACATTAAGAATAATGAGAATGGAGATGTTGCAGATGATGATTACCATCTGTTTTTGGTATGTTTTTGGCTTGACAGTTCATCTTTCTTACTTTCAATCTTTAGAACAAGAAGAAAAAAGTATTGACTGTTGCTTTGTTTGTGTATCATACCAGGAAGATATTGAGATTGCTCATTCTCTTGGGGTAAATTCATATCGGTTTTCGATTTCATGGGCCAGAATTCTACCCAGTATGTCCTTCAGTAACCAGAATCTTTACCTGGTTATGTTTAGATTATAACAATTTTAAAATTCTTCAATGGTGGAACAGGAGGAAGGTTTGGGGAACTCAATCCAAGTGGAATCAAGTTTTATAACAATATCATAGACAACCTCTTGCTCAGGGGTAAGCGGTTCAGAAACTTGGGGAAGCAAAAAGTTTTGGAGGAAAATTGCTTCTTGTCAATGATATAATTGATTAAACAAATGCATGAAAGCAGGAATTGAACCATTTGTGACAATATTCCATCATGATCACCCACAAGAACTGGAGGACAGATATGGATCTTGGCTCAGTCCTCTGATGCAGTAATTTCTCCTCTCATTCAAAGCAATTCTATATTTTTGGGCCAAAAAGCAGTCATGTTGTTAAGTTGCCTGATTCCAGTGCTTTTGTAGGGAGGATTTTGTTCTGTTTGCTGAAACTTGTTTCAAGAACTTTGGTGATAGAGTTAAGTACTGGATAACTATCAATGAGGCAAACCAGTTTGCAGAGATGGCCTATGTCAGGGGACTTTATCCACCGGCTCGTTGTTCAGCTCCTTTTGGAAATTGTTCTGTTGGCAATTCTGACATAGAGCCTTTTATCGTTCTGCACAACATGTTACTGTCACATGCCAAGGCTGTTAAGCTATACCGAGAACAGTTTAAGGTTACAGAATGAGATTCTGAACTTATTTTCTAGCTTGAAGTTTCCTTGAGGATATTTCTCTTACCCCAAATTTGATGCTGGTGCAGCCAGAACAAGGTGGTTCTATAGGATTAATTGCACATTCACACATGTATGAACCATTAAGAGATGGAGAAGCTGATCTTCAAGCTGTGAAAAGAGCTCTGGCTTTTACAGTTGGCTGGTGAGTGATCTAAATCAAAGCACAAAAGTGTTTTTGCTTCCTTTTCTATACATTCAAGCAGCAATATTAATGATAGGGCTTAGGATTGGTATGGATCTTATTTGATGATAGACCAGACAAAAGTTTATAAGTTAGATGAGCATTCATTTGCTATGACCATTTGATGTGCAACATGGCCTTCTTTTCGCCCTTCAGCATCACCATCAAGCCTTCTAAAATTCAAAGAAATTTAATGGCTGTTGGGGCTCAAGGAATAGGAGACACACAATCTGTGTGAACCAAAGCAAACCAAGTCCTCTTAACTTGGAACTACACTTTTACTTTATGTAATTAGTGGACCACAGCAGATAACAAAATCTTGCGAACAATTCATCTGCAAATAGAATCATCATGAGAGTACAAGACTCACACACGGATGAAGATAAGTAAAAGAAAAAGATTAAAATTTGTGACATCCCCATCTCCTTTCCTTACTGTAGGCTTTAACTGTTATTGAATTCTCAAATGAGGTCTATTCAACGTTGCATTGCAACAATAAATATATATAGGCCATTAGGCCAGTTAGAAACAAGCCAGTTGTGTATCCAAAAAGAGAAATCAGTGATCACAATGCGGCGACTGAGAAACCAGGACCTAAGGTTGATATTGATTGCAATATAGTTCTATGTGTCATGGATCCCACATCAGTAAGAAAAGAAATAAATATTAGATACATAAACATAAATTTTATTTTATTTAACAAGCATGTCTTTTAGATTAAAAATGAGAATTCATGACAAGTAATATTAAAATAGATTCAAATTATTACAATGTAGGACTCTTATGAGAGATACAAGTGTCAGCGTCTCTTTTCTTCCATGGAAAACTAGTGCAATGAGGATGTTGCACGATTGATTGGAGTAAAATGTTATGAATCCTACATCAATAAAAAATGAACTGATCGTAAGTATATCAACATAAACCTTCCTTCACCTAACAATTATGTTTTCTGAGTTGAAAATGTAAACCCATGACATCATGACTCTTTTAACTATTTTATATATCATGACAAATGCTTGCTTTTTTTTCACTTTCAATTTCTTTTTCTAGAGAAGAGATGCTATCTATTCTAGAAGCGTTATAAGTTGAACATGGTTGTTGCCTTTAATCAGCAACATTGCAGTAAAGATATGCTCTTCAAGATTAACATGAATTAGGAATCACTAAGCAGGGCAATAGATCCTTTAGTGTTTGGAGATTACCCTCCTGAAATGCGCCAATACCATGGAAGTGAACTGCCGAGGTTTTCCCCAGAAGAAACCGAGTATGTGAAAGGCAGTATTGATTTTATTGGCATTAATCATTATTCAACATTATATGCCAAGGACTGCATCCATTCTCATTGCGTCTTAGGTGGAGACCATTTCATCAGAGGCTTTGCATACACAACTGGAGAAAGAGATGGCATTCTAATCGGAGAACCAGTAACTCCTTCTCTTGCTCTTGTTTCCTTCTCATTCATTTCTAATTTCTCTTGCATTAGACTTTGTACTTTCCAGATTTAATTAAGTGTTCCAGTCCCCCTTCCCCTTCTCTCAGTTTATTACAAGATCACGTTGCTGTTTTCTGGCAGACTGGAGTTGAAAGATTTTATGTTGTTCCAAGGGGCATGGAGAAGATTGTTGATTATGTTTCGAAACGATACAATAACATGCCCATATATGTAACAGAGAATGGTAAGCAGCAGTGCTACATTTCTATTTATGGGAATTGATGTCTGTGAATCCATTTATGAAGCTCCAAACCCATGCAACTGAGTACAGCCTTGACAGTAGTCGGCATACCAATCATGGAAAAACTGATAGATAGTCCTTAAACGGGTAAAAGTAATGTTCCAGGTCAAATGTTGCCTTAGGGAAATTATAGGGATTCTGTTCTGTAACTTGACAACTGCTTCTTGATCATCATTTGGATTCTGTTCTGTAATTAGAAAACTTACTGTGACAAACTTACACTCTTACAGGATATTCTCCACCACAGACTGAACAAGTGCCAGATTTGCTGCATGATGTCAACCGAATCAAGTTCCATAGAAGCTACCTTGCTGCTTTGGCGAGAGCAATAAGGTAAGTGAATTTGTCTTCCTTTCCTCACCTTGGATCTTGTTTACTTGAATACACGACTGATAACTCAAGTTGTTAGTAGCTGCTGGAATTGGTTTCTTTCTGTTCGAACACATTGGAACACAATAAAAGACAACATGATCTTCACTCTTCATTTATGTCTCCAACACGAAAAATAGCAGCTCTGTTTACCTAAAACTGGATTTTATTTTGATAGGAATGGTGCAGATGTGCGCGGATACTTTGTATGGAGCTTGATGGATAACTTTGAATGGACAGGAGGTTACAGTGCAACATTTGGAGTTTACCATGTTGATCGTCAAACCCTGAAGAGGACTCCGAAGCTTTCCTCTAAATGGTATGAAGATTTTCTCTCTAACAGAAGCCAAGGAAGCAACAGAGATGGGTTCAACAACATAAAAGAGGGTTCTAAACGTTCTCTGAAAAGCAAAAATATCATAATTACTAGAACAGAAGCTAAAGAAACAGAAATGTGATGATACCACTAGATTTCATCATCCTTATGTTGTTGTCATCCTAGTTTTGCTCCTTCATGCTTTGAAGGTTGCACTTGTATGATAAAGCAGATGATGGTGCATAAATACTTGATGTTTATATATGTCCTAACGCTATTTACATGCTTGTTTAAGCTGATTAAACAAGAGCAGTTCCACATTCATGGGCGAAATTGCCTTGCAGATGATCAAAATCTTACAGGCTAATGATATAATTTGATCAAACAAATGCATGACTGCAGGAATTGAGCCATTTTTGATAATATACCACCCAATCAAACTAAATTTAACACCTTTTGGAAGAATTAAAAACACCCAAATCAAAAATAACACATTTAAAATCAATTCAGCAAAAAGATTATTTTTTTTCTCAGATAATTTATTGCAGAAGAATGAAACATGAATGCATAAAGAATTACAAACAAAACTAAAAATTAAATGAGAATTATTGAATTAAAATGAACTCATTCAATGGATTATTAGAGAGAGAAAAAGAAAAAAAATACGTTTTTTCTTGGGGAGAGAGACAGTTGTACCCCTTGAAGAAGAACGGTGGCCAGGCATTTTTAGAAAGGGAGGAAATTGGCGGCAGAAGGAAGGGAGGAGAGAAGAAAAGAAGAAAAGAGGAAAAGGAAGGAAGAAGAACGGCCCCGTCAGAAAGGCCTAGGCCGACGAAGGCGACGGCGCGGGAACCGAGGAAGGGAGAGAGGGTTGAGAGAAAAGGGTTTGCTAGAGTTCCTATTCCGGTTCGAGGGCTTCGCTCGAAAACCGGTTTGAGGGTATTAAGGGTTCCGTTGGACCCGTTGTGGGGTTTTCTGACCGGTTTTAGGAAAAGAATTTTTGGAAAAGAAAAGAAGAGGGAGGAAAAACATCACCGGTGACAAAACTAGCGCCACCGGCAACGGCAGCACACGAAAACAAAAATGAAAGTGAAAGAGAAATAGAACGAAAGAAACAGTGAAACAAGAAGAGAAAAAGAAAAGGATGAAAGGGAGGAAGCCAGAAAGAACCGCCGACAGCGAGACCAGTACCAAACGACATCGCTTTGGTGTTAACAAAAATACGTACCAAAACCCCCTACTTTGTATTTTATTCAATTTAATTTTTATAATTCTTTTTCTTAACGATATTCAATTTTATCATTAAAAAATGACATCAGCATCATTTTTTATAAAAAAATAAAAAAGTGATAAGAATTTAGTAATAATTATAAAAATAATTTTTTATTTTAACGTACTTAATTTGAATATAACAAATTTCTTATTACAACTATAAAATCAAAGTTGTCACTTTTCATAAATTTTTTATTTATTTTTTATGTTGTTATTTTGTTTAATATTTTAAGTTATATTTTTTAACTTAAAATATTTTTAGATTAAAGACTGTATTTATAGTTGATAGAGTTAAATATAATTGTAAGTATTTGTATAATTTTATTTTATTTTTATAATTTTTTTTGTAAATCTAAATTAATAATTTAAATTTAAATTTAGTAGAAATTGATTGTGGCATTTGAATTTAAATAAAATTGTTTTATAAAAAACTTTGAATAAATTTAAATAAAAAGTAAATTAGGTAAGTTTGAATAATTTCAAAAGAATGGATATTTGTAAATTATGAAAATTGTAACTAAATCAATCTATTTTGCTAATTTAAGTTCAGCTTAAGTTAAAAATTAAGTAAAATAAATTTTAAAATTTTATACTATTATAAATAGAAAGAAAAAAGAATTTATTTAATCTTTTTATATTATTTTATTTCAATATAATGCAAGTTATTAATATAAATTTGACTTTAGATATGAAATTTTTTTATAGAAAAATAATTTAAACTTAATTTTTTACAAAAAAATAAATTAATGTACATATTATAAAATCAAATAATCAATTAAAAAAATATTTATATATTTTTTTAATATAAAAAATCTTTTACACTTAAATGTTTGACTTATTAATAACTATATCTATCATTTACTTAAAATTTTATATTTTTTAAAATTATTTTTAATTTAATCCCTTAACATCTCAATTTTTTTCAATTTCATTTCTATGATGTGATACAAAAATTTTTTTTTGAAAATTTTTTTATCTACCACATGACACTAACATGATAACATGTCAGCACTACCACGTTATCATATTAGTGCCACGTGGCACTACCACGTCATCAAGTTCGGTGCCATGTTATCAAAATATGCTACATCAGCATTGATGTTATCTTTTTTAATAGCGAAATTGGATGCCGTTAGGGAAAGGGATTAAATTGAAGTAATTTTTAAAATCAAGAGACTAAATTATTTTCAAAATCAAAAGACTAAATTATTTTGATTTTGAAAATAAAGACTAACTTGAATAAAATGTATGAGTATTGGTACCTAGTGGGTATTTTGACCTAAAAAAATAAAAAAAGAAAAATGAGAAGGAGATAGGAATAGGCTGTTGATGGATAGACGCATTTGGTTTGACCCAAATTCCTAATGCTGATACAATCGAAACAAAGTGGTTATATAGGAAAAATAAGAGATTATTAATGTTACGGATCCCACATAAGAAAGAGATAAGATGAATCTTGAGTATATAAACTTCAGCCTTCCATTATCTATCAAATATGTTTTTTAGATTAAAACTATGAATTTGTGATTTAAAAGTATACTTGGACTCTATTTTTAGAATTTAAGATCATGTAGAATTAAGTTTAAATTTTGACCAATGACATCGAAAACCCCCAATTAGCTAGTTCTTACTAGATGAGCTTAATTTCATCTTCAATTACTAGTATAACTGTGACTTATTTGACCCTTCAAGATCTCTATATCATTTGACACATTCATTGGAAACTGTTAGAAAAGCAGCATCACATCATTGCATGTCTATGGGGTTGATTATATGATAAAATATAGTAACAGAAGCACTTAGTAAAATATAATTTTTCTGTAGACTTGCAAGTAAAGCAGTTTACTTTTATATGTGATTATT